ATGTGTGGGATTGCTCGTGGAAGATGCACTTAATCAGGCAATTTCACTACCACTTTTTAAATTGTGTTCCTTACCTTGCCTACATTTTATCAACAAAATATGGATAAAAACACACATATGTAAATTGTCTTCATGTAACTTCAGTTGTACTGCAGAGGAAAAGAAACTGAAAAACTAGTGAAGAACCTTCACCAGAAGCAGCTTGAAAGCTGCCTGAAGAATGAACACTCTCATGGCAAGCAGTTGTTCTTCACTAGTTGCTCTGTAGCACCACACAGCCTGCTTTTGAGCACTGTTATTATCGTATGAATTCACAGACAACATTTTCTGGCTATGTGTTACCTGAGAATCAGGAGATCTGGTTTTTGTTTTTGATAACGTTGTAACCTGCTTATATATCAGTCCTGCCTAGGAAATTTCCTTGCCTTGGAGGAAAAAAATAAATTAGGGTGACTAAATATACATGAGCAACTGAAGCTCTCTGATGAACAAGAAATTCCAGTGAAAGAAAGCCATGCCCTTTCTTGAGCACTCTGATCTCTAGGGTTACTAGAAATGCTGAAATGTTGCTAAATTTGTTGTTGAAGGAACTAATTAACATATTTCTGCAATTCTCCCTTTTTGTGTCCCTTAATTATTTCTATGCATATATTTTATTTTCTAAACTAGCCTAACTTTACTCTGAAGATAAGTCAAGGACCTGACAGGAACTTAAGACTGCCAAGAAGACTGCAGTGCACATGCTGTCTAGAATAGCTGGCAAAACCATGAGCAATAAAAGGAGGAGGAGGACTAGTACTAGTAATAATGATGGTATGTTTCAAGATTTTAGCCTATAGGTAGAGCAAGGGAAATGTTTGACATGTAATTGCAACAGGTAATTTGACAGGTTTCCAACTTGGGCTTGTAAACCAGATCATATATATGCAAAAATAGAAGTCTTTCCTATGGAATAGTATCCCATAGTTATACTACTGGAAAACTGCATGTATTTTTTGTCCCTGTGGGCTATAAAAGCAATAGGATGAGTTGGCAGATCTTCTAGATCTCAGTACTTAACATTTTGAGTTGAGATTTAATCAACTTGGATGCAAAGCAAAGGACTAAAAAATAAGGAAAGTGCTGGTGTAATTAGCTGACCTCATTCCCCAATTCTGTGACATACTAAGACAAAAGTTTAGAAAGACAATATGGTGAGGGGAGAGGAAAGTAAAATGGAGAAATAAAGCATCATAAACATTGCTTTTGAAAAATAAAATCCACAAATATTCTTATTTTATATGTGTTGCCTCATATGTGAGTTGTTCTAGAAATGCGTGGGGCAGGGTAGGGTAAGATGTGTACATTTTGCAGCATTGTCACCAGTCAGTGCTACCCAATTCAGTAGGTGTAATGTAAGTGTCTTTAGTGATTATTACTTATGACATTACAATCGGATCTTTGCAGATCAAACTTGTGATTTTTGTAGACATAATGCAAAATTGTGGTTATGAAGGTCAGAAGTTCTGAAAGAAATAAAAGTGATGCCTCTTAGTTGCAGTGTAGCAAAAGTCTACCTAGTCTTAAAAATAGGTCTTAAAATTATACCAGGATTGAAAGTGCAGAATAACATTCTCCCTAATTGTTGTGGTTTGTTCTTGCTCTTCTTATCTTCCTCCCTTACTGCATTTTTTTTTTCCCCGTTTCTTCCAGTTTTGTACCTAATTTTTTTTAGAATTTAGCCTAGTTGCAGCTGCGTGCACAACGGTCACTTTTGCCATTTAAGATGCATGAGGGAGAGCTGGAAATAGTGACCATGAAGATCTGGTATTAGTAATCAAGTTAGTCCATCATGCTCCCTTTTATTTTTTTCTTTGCAGATAATACTATCCCATTTTCCTCTCTGAAACTGCTAATTGCCAATATTTGACTACATCTTCAGGAACTATAAATTGAGATGGTCAAGGCCAGGTTGGATGGGGCTTTGAGCAACCTAGCCTAGTGGGAGGTGTCCCTGCCCATGGCAGGGGACTGGGAACTAGGTAGTCTTTAAGGTCCCTTCCAACTCAAACCATTCTATGCTTCTACAAACACAGAACAGCTTTTATTGCTTTATTAGCAACCCGTTGTTAATCTTTTATAAAATAATTTGCCCATAGAAGGTAACCTTATGCTGTTTCAGCTGCAATTTTAATTGGTTTGTTAGATGAAGATCAAATAGCCTAGATTTAGTTATATTTTGCAGTGCATATATGTGTGAAGCTCAGATAATAAACAGGTTAAAGATATCTTCTACTTGCTGTATGTGCTAATCTCAGCTCAGGGGTACTCACAGTATTGTTTCACTAAGTGAATAGCAAATTGTTAGCTTGTGTAGGTGTAAAAGCTTGGTTGCAGATTTTTTGTGTGTTCCTGCTTTTCTAAAGTAGAAAAAAACCTTGATATTAAACTTGCATATGATCTGTTTCTTGCCTTAATTGCAATATTTTGGTACTGTGGTTAAACAGATATTTCAGAAGATCTTTCAGGAGTAAGATACAGGCTTGTAGTTAGGTATGGAAAGAAGAGATGTTCTCCAGCTGTGGGTGGTATGCTAATAAGAATACAAATTTAATTCTAATTGCATAGTTAGCAACTCTTTTTATAGTTCTCAAGTGCTTTAAGCTCTTTTAGTTGCAATAAAATGGGTATGAAAAAGCAGTAATTGTAAATGGTAAAGGCCCTCAGTCATAAGCATTCAGTTTATCATTATACCTAAGGGATGTTTGAAGCGGGTGGGGACAGCAATCCTTAGTGCTTGCTTGAAGATAAAGGACAAAGCAGTGGAGTGACTTAAAAAATCTAAGGGGAAATAAACTGTTTGCTATGAAAGAAACTGACATGTAGGTTTTGCTCTTGGGATCATTCAGAAGCAGCCTCAGCCCTCATCTCTAGGGATGGCTGCAGGAAGTTAACATGAGCTTGCTACAATGCGGGGATCAGCTTGGTGACCTTTTCTAAGTTTCTTTGAATCCTAGACTTCAGGGCTGCTCTGGATTATGCCAGCATGAATCCTGCATATTTCTGAGTTTATGCTTGAATTATGTTTACTTGGATGCCATCCATGTAAGGAAAAAGTGAATTTTGGAACTGATTTACACCTAAGCTCTCCTCCAGTTTTTCTGTCTCTTCTGGTTTAGTGAACTCTTAATTTTTCTCTTCCCTTAATTGTGAAGATGAAGCATCAACAATCAGCTGTCCACTATGTGGTGAACTCATATAGCAATTCCTCTTTGCAGATCCTGGAATTTGTAGGGAATTATGTGTGAGGACAGAATTTAAGGGTGAGGCCACCTGCCCCTGTAGATAGACTGGATGCCTGAAAATTTTTCCACTCGCTTCACTGTTATTTGTAGATTGAGAAACATTTTATTGTTTTATATATGCTCTTGGTTTGTCAGAAATATACAGATTATTTTGTGATTGTGTGGAACAATTTCATTTCAAGGATACAGCAGTGTTTCTCTATTATTCACTGGTTTCTTGGTTGTAATAAACATCAACAACATCTAAGAACTCTGAATGCTTCTTCCCTTAGTAGTGAAACTTCTCAAATAGTATCCACTTTAGGCTGAATGTTTAAACTTATAGTAATACCTTCCTATCACCGATGATATAATTATGTCTGCTCAAAAGCACTTTTTTTTTTTTTTTTAAATCAATATAAATGTTGCAATCCCTTCCTGCTATTTTTTGCATAATTATTCATAAGAAACCATGCATAACATAGATGTAACCAGATTGAAAATGTTACATGCCCTCCCACATGTAACAATGAAATGTGTGTTTTGCTACTAGGATTACAAATACTTCATTGATGTCTGCATATAATTAAACATGTTAGATTTTGTTTCCGGCTGTACTTACTGACAAATGTTTCCTGAATGCCAACAGCTGTTATTAGGAAAATACTCCCTGATCAACCTGCTGCTTCTGCATAGGTTGCTTTATATAAAGCTTAAGAACACATTGTCACTTCTTGCCAAAGTAACACTAGAAGCATTTAATGGATTAAAAGTTGTTTGGGTTGTTTTGTTTTCTTGTGTTGTTTTTTTTTTTTTACAACAGTTGCATATAGCAAAATTGTTTTTCTAGCAGGATAAACTGTTTAAAAAATGAGACTTAAAACATTTAAACTTAGTCACATTTTTCATGTGAGTTATTAGGTAGGATGTAAAGCATCCATTCTAAGCAGAGCTTACACTAATTACCATAATATACAGCATTTGATGGGCTTAGAAAGAGTGGCTCTTTCATCACTGTTAGTTTTACTTCATGTGCTCTCTGCTTTGTTAATTCCATTTCTCTATATCCAGTGAGATTTTGGACTGTTAGAAAAACTTTCACAGCCTCCAGCCTCCCATCTGTTAGTCTTGCTTATAGAAACTGCTACATGAGGTGATAACAGTGTGCATGCAGTCCCCAGCAGGCTGTGTATAATAAGATGGTTCCTGTGCATTTTGTATTCTGCCTTTTTTTTTCCCTCCCATTGCATGGAGTATTAAAAACAATGAGTAGTTCCCTTTTCTGCTTTCTCCCCCCCAGATTTTCCTTCTCTCCTTTGCAGGGTGTGCAAACATGTCAGACTGTTTCTGGTACTTTTGTTTTTCATTGTTCTAACTAGAAAAAGGTAATTTTTGTTCATGGTCAGGGACTGCTGGTTGAAGCCAGTTGTCTGACATACATGTGACTGCCAAAAGGATGTAAGTGGAGGAAGATAATTATCTGTCTCAAGGAAAGAAGGAACAAGAACTAGTGAATAGATATAAACATTTACCAATATTTCCTTTCTGTGGTGGCTTCACATTTTGGTTATATGAATTTTTTCAATTTTGTTTAAGACTTAGAAATTTTTTGTTTAATCCTAAAGGTTTTTCAGTTCCATTTAATTATTTTAATTCTAAGAATTAATTAGGAATGAATTCTAGGAATGATGAATGATTGGATCAATTTAACCTCCCTTTTCTGCTTTCCTTTTTCAGGATTGCACAGTATATGAAACAGAAAATAAAATTCTTCATGTGGTGAGTAGTGTTTGGATTCTTATATAGAAATATATGCTTATAGACATAGAGAATTTTAGTTCTCTGAGTGTTGTGCTTTTTCTATGCAGTGCCAGTGTGATAATGAACTAGTATGGGTATGACTGAGTGAATATATGAACTACTTGTGAAGAGGTAATGATGTTAACAAAGCGGAATTTGGCATATGAGAAGCCAGGAACTTTGTAAGAGCTTGTTTTTGGCTCAGGCCGATCTGTTATTTGGAAAACATGGTCAGAAGAAATATTTTGAAAAATGGCTTGCTTTTTTTTTTTTTTTAGGAGAGATGGTTGCTAACCTTCTATGAAATCATATATATATTTATGTTAGTGGTGTAGCTTAATTTATGCAGCTTTATTCCTCATAGGAGCATGGAGCTAGCCTAATGATAGGAAAATTAATGCAATTCTTTCCTTCTGAATTCTCAGCATAAATACAATGGTCTTTTCCCTGAATCTGTAGTGCTATTGATAATAAATAAAGCAGATGAAAGTCATCAAGGCATTAGAACACAGGATGAGTTTGAAGGCTGATACTTTGGTGGATGGAGAGACAAAAGCTTGAGTAAACTTTGAAAACTGCCCCTAAGTTTAGATCCTAAATCATGTGTCATGCTGTGGCTGTAGTTTAGTGAGTATTAAGTTAACCCAGAGCTTGTTTCTAATTTAATGATATTATTTGTAAGAGTGAGCAATGAATGAGTTTAATTTATTCACTGTATTTCATGTTTAGGTAGGTTTTGGTATCTTACTTTTTTATTACTAGAGCTTAAGCAAAAAATGCTGCATTTCTTTATTTTAAAAGGTGAGCTTCCCAGGAAATTTTCCTATACATTTTTTTTTTAATTTTTATTTTATTAATCAGTCCTCCCATATCAAAACCTTGGTAAGCTGAACTCTGTAAGCTTTTGGAGCTTTGATTTCACATTGGTGTGGAATAAAACATCTCCTTGTATTTTTAAGTTTCACTGACATTTCTCCCCTGTGGAACACAAAGAAATTAGTGATTTTAGTGAGGCTGACATCATCATCTTTGCTAGGCTGATCTCTGCAAGTAGTTAAGCAATGAAGTTTTTAATTGCGTAATCTGGGCAAAAGTTAGAAGTGTTATATGTTTTAAATAATTAGATATAGCCTGGTTTTCAATACATGCTTGTTTTCTGTTGCAAGAGCCAAGAGTTCTGATGTCTGCCATATAGACTATCTTTTATAGATTAGAAAAAGGAATTGTGAAGGGAGGTGTCAGTGTTTGAAGCTGATGAAACACTAATGTAGTCTTTAGTAGAAAATTTTGAGGAAATGAGAAGGGATTTGTTTAAGAAACATGAGTGGTCAAATTTGAAACAGGTTTCAGAAGTTATTATCTTACATATAGAGTTATTTTTTTAATCCACAGTAACTTCATTGTGATTGCAGGTGGACATATGTATTACTGTGGAGAGCTTAATTAACTTCTGTGATTAGTATTCAAGCTTGCAAGGAAACATGAACAGAGCGCTGAATATTTTACTGAATGCTAGCATTAAAAATTACTATATGTATTAAATGTAACTTGGGTCATTTCTGACCATGTTGCATTTCAGCTGATGGATGGGATTTCATGGGACAAAAACTGACAAAATGCAATCAAGGAAACAGATAAATCAAAGAATTGAAAGTTGGGATCTGAAACTGTATTTTGAATTTGAAAGGAAATATTTTACAAGTACAGATGAAAAGATTGATGATAGGAATCAAATTGACAGCATTCACAGTTCCCTTTAACTCCTCTCCTTGAAAGATAGAAGAAGGTGTGGAGGCTGTATCCCATTAGGTATCTGGGGAGGAGAAATCTAACACACAGATTACAAAAAGAGAAGTAAAGACTACTGACGTCCAGATCTCGAGAGTGCATGGTATTTTTATGCCAGTGTCAAAGAAGAGAGAACATTAGATACCCTATGAGATAACAATATTTGAATGTGCAAGTGCAACTTAGATTAAAGATGTTCTAGAGGGAGATTATGAATTTAAATCTCCTGTTACAGATCATGCATCCAATACATTTCACAGAATCACAGAATGGTTTGGGTAGGAAGAGACCTTAAAGATCATCTAGATCCAGGAAGTATTCAAGGTTGGGTTGGGTGGGGTTCCGAGCAACCTGATCTAGTTGAGGATGTTCCTGCTCACTGCAAGGGGGTTTGGACTAGATGACCTCTAAAGGTCCCTTCCAACCCAAACCATTCTGTGATTCTATGAATTTATACAATTAGCCTGAGAAAATCCTTGTTACAAAGTATTGTACCCACTAAGGACTGAAGGCAAATTTTGAGAGATCCTTTGTACGTATGTAAAAAAGAACTACAGCTACAGAAATGAAAATAAATTAAATGATAGTTATCTACTTTCATTCTTTAGGACATCAAGAAATTTACCACCTTATGAACAGACCATTGGATCAAAGTAGTTGATATTTGACCTCATTACCTATTGGTGGTCCAGTGGTTTCCTTCAGGTCCAATCTGTGTTGTGAATTTTGGAGTTGTGTAGTGTAGTTCAGGGACTGGGTCTCTCTCTGTAAGCACACATCTGCTGTGGGGATGCTGCCTGTTACCCTGGAGCGAGCCTACTTTGTACCAAATTGGGGGGCAAGATGTCATGTGGGCACAGGTGGGGAATATGAGACCATGCTGCTGCTATTGAAGCACATACTTTGATAACTCCAAAGTTAGCCTGTCGTTGAGCCTTCATGCTTTCCTCTAAAGCATGGTTCCCTCGACAAAGGCAAGATCTTTAATTAAATGAATTATTCGTTTCCTTGAATTAGGTATGGCCAAAAACTAGTTAATGTGCTCATATTTTGGTGTCACTAAAATCTTTTGAAAAGCAAATGAATGCCCTCTTTCTTTCAGAGATGGCAGTGTGGGCATTCATGTTGAGAGACTGCTGAATCACCTTGTCCATAGTTAGTATGTTTTAATGTTAAAAAACTTATTCTGATTTCAGTTTTTTAGATATTGCTGTTATAGTTAAGAAATGGTATTCTGTGGAGGCAGAACAGTATAGTTTCAGCTTATATTCAAGAAAAAAATATTTTTGTTTACTCCAAGCACTTCACATTTCAAATGGTATATAAAAGCGTTTTGATTGTTGCTTAAAATACTAGGTAAAGTAGTAAACTAGTCTTTGTTATTCTCCTAAACACATAAAAAGTATCTAAAGAAAAAAGTTCTTATGGAAAACTGAAAAAGTTTAAAGAAGAAATTATGTACTTCAGCAAAATGTACTCCATCTAAATGGAGCTGCAAAGCGTGTCTAGGAAAAAATCTCTTCTACAATACTTTGCCCTAGAATTACAGGTGTGTTGAAATAATTATTTTAACACAACTATATTTTTTAAGTTGTTTTTGTTTACTGTGAATTCATTCACAAAACCACTTGGGTTCTGTGGAATAAGAAGCATAAAACCAATCAGGAATAAGGTGTTGCTTTTTGCTCATTAAAATGTTCATTCTTCTGAAATATTCATGAATACACAGAATTGCTAGATATTTCTGCCACTTCATTTCTCAGTGTATTTTTTCAGGTTACCTTTTGCTCAGTAAGTGATGGAATAATTAAATAAAAATTGTCAGAATTTATTAATATAAACAGAAAGTAAATATCACCCAAAATTAATACCAGCAGAAGTAGATGGCAATAGAAAATATTAACATAGAATATAGAAAATAATAAATTAACAGGTTTTAAAATACAGTGGGCCTAAATATGAAAGGATAAACCACAGGTGTGGTGTTTCTTCAAAACTGCAGATTAGTATGCTGCTGCTAGTTTATAATTTTTATATTGATTTAGCTTGAGAGGATTAAATGTATGGCAAACTACTCAGCTTAAAAAGGTATCAGTTCTCCTTATTTAGGGACTTAGAAGTTAATTGTTGTGAAAGTCAGAATGGAGATCTAAAATCTTTGAAGAATAATTTATTGATTCACTCCAGCTGTTAAGGGCTGCATATGACAGAAATATTTAGTTCAGATTAATCCATGTGAAGCAGTACAATGTTAAAGTGAGAGCAAGCAAGGACTAATTATAGAAAGCAGAAGCTGGGCTCCAGTCAGATTAATAACAAGTTTAAACTGAATTTTCTTGTTAGTTTAATTCTGTTTTTTAGAAAAGATAATGTTTTCCTAGCTATTTCACTTTCTTAAAATTGTGCTGCTTTTCCTGAAAAAAAAAAAAAAAAAAAAAAAAAAGTTTTATTGAGTTGGAAAACTCAATAGAAGATGAAGTAGAACCACGGACTGAAAGTAATATTCAGAAGTTTTTGAAAAACAAATGAACTATTTATAAAAAATCAAGTTACTAAATTGAAAAAGAAAAGAACAAGTAATGGATCAGAACGTTCTCTTTTTGCTAAGAGCCTTTCAGGAACCACAATGACAATCATCTGCCACTATATTTGAATATTTGTTCTAGAACTATAATCAGCTAAAAATGCATCATCAAAGGTATCATTTTGATAGTTGTATTAAAGAAAAAAAAAAACCAAAGAAGAAATCACCTGCTTCCTTTCAAGTGTCTATACATTGCAAACTGGGCTCAGCAAAATTCACTGTCTAATAGAAACCTCTCCTTCTGCATCCAAAAAAAGTTTTAGTTCACTGCTTAAATTTCATGTATATGCAAATGTAAATCCAGGCCCCTTTGTTTCTAAGATTGCCAGAGTTACTGACATATTCCATACAGTACAACAAATAGTTTGCACTAATATTGATTGATGAATAATTAGTCCATTTGGCTTAATCTGTCTAACTAGTTATGACTTAATCCTTAGTGCTCCTATAGCAAGTTGCTTTGTCTTGGTCAGTTGTAACTAATTGAACTAACATTTAAAAAAAAAAAAAAAAAATATTTTTTTTAGTAGACAAAACAACATTGCCAGGACATTTTTGTCTTACTTTTAGCCCTGAATGTCTGTGTATGTTACTGACATTCTATCCC